GGCCTTCTCACAATGCAGTCGTTAGCACCCACTAAATAGAGATTCTATTTCTATTTTGTTGGTAGATTTTCTTAATGTGCGGTTAAAATTTTGTGTTACAGTGATGCGCGCGCATCTTAAAATTTCACTCTCATCATTTTTTCATAACGCGCCTAAAGAAGTATTACTTCAAAAATGTTCCTTTATATGTGCCTAAAGACGTTTCTCCGTACCAAATTTCAAGATTTGAGTTCACGGGAAGTATCCTCTAGGTTTCGATTCCCTTGCGAGTTTCGAAAATTTGCGGCATAAACATTATCTTTTGATTACGTTGGCTTAGAAGTTTGGTTACTTCACAGCTCCAAGGGACAGTAGACTTGAGTATTTGATATAAATTTCAGCTTGATACCCCCACGGGTTCCTAAGAAGAAGGGTCTTGACAGACCGATGGACAGGCGGACAACAAAGTAATCCTATAAGAGTTCCGTTTTATCCTTTCGAGGTACAGAACCCTCAAAAATATATTAGATATTTTTGAACTACCTGGTCTTACAGATATATACGTCAATAATGGTTGGTTAAATTTTTACTTCGTTTTTACTTTTAATACTGCAGCTAATGTAATTTTTTCAGCTGCACAATTTATTATTGCACCTAGTAAGGTAGTTACGTGAGGTGTGAATGAGGAGATTGAGCTGGCCCATAAGATTTTTATAACGCTTACTTAGAAAAATTAAATTAGAGGATATACAATAAAAGTTTAACTTCAAAATGCGTTATTCAGATCTTCAATGCGATTTTTTCAGAGAGATTGTCATGTTTACCAGTTTTTTTTTAGTTTCCAGCTTAATTTGCAGTTGTTAGTACCCAATTACTCACACGCCATAGGTTAGTCCAGCCCTGATTGTTAGCGTGTTCAGTCTGTGATCATGGAAGTAAACAACTGCTGCAATGGCCTCTCATTCGATGGGTGATCAAAAATTTGTTGCTCAAGTTCATCCGTGCTTCGGAAGGCACGTTAAGAAGTTGGTCCCAGCTGCATTTGCAGTCGTTAACAGTCATTCAGTGATGAAAAAAAACGAGGGTCCTTATGACAACACGACTGAAGTAAAACTTCTTTAGCTCCATCTGTATGTATACAATATATACATGTATGTACATATACTATTATATGAGGAGCTCGATGGCGCGGGTGGTTATGCGTTCGGCTGCGATTGTTGAAGTTAAGCAACTTTCGCTGTGGTCGGTCATTGGATGGGTGACCAAAAATCCTCTATCTCGAGTTCCTCCGTACTTCGTTAAGCCGCGTCAAGGCACGTTAAGCCGTTGTTAGCACCCGCCAATCCGCACTGGGCCCACGTGGTGGGTCATAGCCCAATCTCCTTATTCCATCCAAAGGGAAGGCCTGTGCCCCAGCAGTGGGGACATTAATAAGCTGATGATGATGATGATGATGTCCATATACATATTTCATTATTTTTATTTTTACGAAACCACGGTAACCTATCATGGTTCATCATCATCATCATCATCATCAGCCGAAAGACGTCCACTGTTGGACATAGGCCTCCCCCATGGATTTCCACAGCGATCGGTCCCATGCTGCCCGCATCCAGCGGCTTCCCGCGACCTTTACCAGATCGTCGGTCCACCTTGTGGGGGGCCTGCCAACACTGCGTTTCCCGGTACGCGGTCGCCACTCGAGGACCTTTCCGCCCCAGCGGCCATCGGTCCTGCGAGCAATGTGCCCTGCCCATTGCCACTTAAGGTTTGCAATTCTGTGGGCTATGTCGGTGACTTTAGTTCTCTTGCGTATCTCCTCATTTCTGATTCGATCACGCAGAGAAACTCCGAGCATAGCCCTCTCCATTGCCCTTTGGGTGACTTTGAGCCTTCTTACAAGACCCATTGTAAGCGGCCACGTCTCGGTTCCGTATGTCATCACTGGCAACACGCACGAATTGAAGACTTTCGTCTTGAGGCACTGCGGTAGATGTTCCGAGAAGATGCTACGTAGCTTCCCGAACGCTGCCCAGCCGAGTTGGATTCGTCGATTAACCTCTTTCTGGAAGTTGGACTTACCCAGTTGGACTATTTGTCCCAGGTATACGTACTGGTCAACAGCTTCCAGTGTAGAGCTCCCAACAGTCACTGGAGTGGGTACGACATGGGAATTCGACATGATTTTCGTCTTGTCCATGTTCATTTTGAGACCCACTTGTTGGGACACCCTACTGAGGTCGCCGAGCATTGTGCCAAGGTCATCCATGGTCTCAGCCATGACTACGATCATGGTTGCGTACAAAGAATTAGTAAGAAGGTTATGAATAAAGATTTTTTTTTCAATTGTACGTTACTAGTTTCCATGGAGGAATTATTTTTCTTTACGCAAGAATGTAAGTCATACAGAGTGTAAATGAAAAAAAAATACTAGAGAAAATTCCACGCGAACCAGGCAGCAGACGGGACTCGAACCAGCGCCCTCCGCAGTCAGGGCGGATGCACTGACCAATTATGCTACTGCGACCCTGATGGCCGTATCTAATTTTCTCTAGTATTTCTTAGGCTGTAAAGCAGCATTTTGTTTTATTTGTGTTCACATTGTAGGTAACCCACATTGTCAAATGAAATACTTTTATAAGTATAAAACATTTAAAAGAAGAAATAGGAAATGTAGTTTAATATACGTATAAAAATAAACATCTAGCTAAATGCTGAAAAATTATAGTATAAATGAAAAAAATCGTACTAAGTTTATTGACACTTGGTAAGGTTATTTTAAACTTCTATGCTCACTAACACTTTAGTAATTTATGTTACTAACGAGATTCTACCATGCTGTGCATGTGTTTTTGTACGAGATCAATTTATCAAAATTACAAAAAATACATATTTGAAATAGTTAATTTAAGTAATAACCAAAACAGAAATTGTTGCTGAACAAAAATGTGTGAGTCACGACTCGTAGACCCAAATAAATTAATTTCGCAATATGATTGCCTAAAAATAGCACAAACGATTTTTACAAAGTAAGTAATAAGTTTAAAAAATATAGAGCATACGGGCATTTGATTTTATGCTGTTGTCTACAGCAATTTCATTCACTTCGGCAGTCTACAGAACCATAGCTTCGTAAGGAATTATTCTTCTTGATGCGTAACTAAGTAAACTTTATTAATATTGCAAAACGAATAATTCCTTCGTATCAACTAGTTACGAAACTAAGGTTTCGTAGACGGCCGAAGGGTAGTGCAGAAATGACCACGGCCAGTCTGTCACTAATGTAGTTTAGCAATTTTCGCAAAGGCATAAAGCAAATGGGTGTTAAAAAAATCGCAATGCAAGCGCAACTTAAAATCATACAGCATACATTCGCTTTGTTTTTAGTGTGTATTCTGTTGGTCGCAGATGACCTTTACAACGTCACCGGGTTTGGGGATTTCGAGATCCTAAGGGGACCTCAAGCCGAGAATTAGCGAGTGCCTCTAGAGGTATACTAGGCGGATGGCATCTCCCACGGGGGGGGGGGGGGGGGGGGGGGATTCTCCTCTCCGTCTGGAGCCTCTAGACCGCATCTGAAGGGGATAAATTCGCAATTACATCGCACTTTATTTATACTTAAAACGCGAGAGCAATCTAGTCTAACTTTTTTAACATCATGCAAGCTACCAACTTACACTTGAAAACTAATGAAGAGATACGCTACTTTATTTATATTACAGATTTTAGTATGGAACTATTACCCTGTTTTTGCCCTATTCAGCGGTCGTCTGAAATGCGACACACGATACATATACGATAAAATTTGAGGATATACAATAAAAGTTTAACTTCAAAATGCGTTATTCAGATCTTCAATGTGATTTTTTCAGAGAGATCGTAATGTTTACCAGTGTTTTTTTAGTTTCCAGCTTAATTTGTAGTTGTTAGTACCCAATTACTCACACGCCATAGGAGTTAGTCCACCAAATTAATTATGTAAAAAGGTTATTGATAAAATACGGATGTATGCTAGCAGACATACTAACATAGTTATGTAGTATTTGACAGAATAAACGAATTTAATATGTCAGAGTGGAATTCTATGGTTTCCTGTATTTGGAATAGATTTTTCTGGGTTAACTAGTAAAACGTTAACTTCGATTCGGTTCTCAGACTTGAAGAAAGCCAAGAGTTATAGAAACCATTATGTTATATTTTTCTAAGTAAGCCTTATAAAAATCTTATGGGCCAGCTCAATATGCAGAATGAGCGATTTCATTATTTTGGTGGGTGTCCATTACCACGTCAGTGTGGAAAAATTGGTTTCGCATACAAACTTCCATCCCTCATTCCTATATAAAAAATATCTCTCAAATGATCTCTATACAAAGTTTTACATTTTTTTTTATGTTGGGAAAATGAGTGAGGTTATGAGTGACTCCTCCTCCCCCAAATCCTGCCAAACCATCCAGACAACCTTTGGAATGGCTCATCGGCTGCTTGGGATAAGGGGAGGGGGCTACCCACTAAAATCCAATAGTGCTGCCTTGCCTGCCGGGGCGGTTTTCGTGGTATACCTTACCCTCGACAGGAGTTTCTCCTCTTCCTTGTGGCTAGGGGGATGTCCGGTAGCACCAGGGCATCCCCCCTCGACGGGTGAGTCTGTGCAATGCAGATGGCAGAAAACCCTGTCTGCCATCCACTAGTCTCACTAGGATCGAAAGAGATGCATCTGCTTCAGACGGAAGTTCAGCGACCCGTGCCTCCTCTCCCTCCATAGGCGGAGCACGGGGCGCAGGGCTTAGAGTCCTGGTCCCGTACTGATGTGACTCCGTCTCTCTGTCCCACTTCTCCAAGATGAGCTCTCCCACTCGTCGCCTGTGGGCGATACTAAATTTTACCTAAATCGGTTCAGCAGTTTAAGTATGAAGAGGTAGTAGACAGACAGACAGACAGACACTTTCGCATTTATAATATTAGTATGGATTAATATAAAGGTATAAATTTCATTATGTTCGGGAGATAAAAAAACAATACAATTAATGGTATAATTAATTCGTTTATTTGCTATTTACGTGGATCCATCGTAAAATAAATTACTTATAGTTACGTACCTAACAAATGTTTTAATAAATTAATACATTCAAACATAAATAAAATGACTCAATAATATATAAAAAAAACGATCACACATAATAATATCACTTTAAATAAATAGTAAGTAAATATAAATAAAAAAATATTTAGCGTAAAATCTTTGGAACTGAAAATATAAAACAATATATAGTAAATAAATACGAAGTCAAAATAAAATGAAAATGAATAATCATATAAAAATACTTGTATCAAAAAAGGCTTTGCATAATATATACTACACAAATAAATGAGAATAATAAATAAAACAGCCTCTAGAAATAAAAAGAACTGAAACAAAATATGTATACTGCAGTTAATAAACATACATAAAGTATAAGATAAAAATTCGGACAAACACACGATTCACACTCATCCATAAATACTATTATGCCATTAAAACATACGGTGGTTAAATAAATAGATTAACTGAGCGCTACGCTTTGTTCGAAAACCTTCGAAAAAAAAAACAAATGAAGGTCTCTTTGGAAGACTTAAAACTGGCAATAACTGCGCGTCCTAAAATTTTCGCTATAGATTCAATCTTGTTTAGCGTGGGCAGCGTAAGCCAGATTTTGTCCCTCCTGGGACCTTCCCCAACCGCCACCGCCGCCGCTCTCCCAACCGTGCTCCTCATGAGCAGGCTCGGCCCAACCACCGCTGTTCTTCTTGGCGTCAAGGAGTTTCTTCAGGGCTCCGAAGGCGGCTGCGATGAAAGCGATCTTGCCTAACAAGTAAGCCTTGAATACGGCAAAGGCAATGATACCCAAGAACAGAGGGATGAGAGCAGTCAGCTTAAGTTTGATGAGTTGGATGATGGGCATCAGTTTCTTGAGCTTCTTCTTCTTCTTGCCACGTCCTGGATAGAGTGGAAAATTCAACATAAATTTTTATCTCTTAATCTACATAAGTTAAAGAATATTAACACTTATTATACGGTAGAGTCATTAAAATTAAGTTTTAATTAAATTGGCTTTCCGCAAGTGCTTAATCCAAATATACGATTTACTTTTACTGCATGAAATTCTCAGGTTAGCTATGTGTTGTTTGTTCTGTGGGTGTTTTTTTTATATTTATAAAAGTACTTAAAGTTGTCCATGAAAAGTGATTTATTTGAGAACCACTCAATCAAGAAAGATCCCACTCAAGTTGGAACAATTCAAAAGAACTTTTTTGTCAGTTTAATAAAAAATGAACCTAATATAATTATAACTTAAGAAAACTCGTGAAACACCTAAAAAATAGCTGAACTTATATAATGTACAGATTCGCAAACAAAGACGTGACGACAGGACACAAGCAGAAAAGTGAAATTATCCGAAGGTATGTTTAAGAGAAATCTGTGAAAGCGAAAACGCATGTAAATCACGTCATAAAGGTTACGCCAAAATAAAGTAAGAGCCATTGATTTCCATAATTTGTGAACACTGACCTACATCCAAGTGAAATTTGTAGGACATCATCAGATATTTAGAAGAGAAAATTTCTAAATTTTTATACCTTATTTTGTATTAATTTGAAACCAACGCACGAACTTTATTAACCATTAATCATTAAATGGAAATAACGACCGTATCATTAAAATTCAGTATTCCTACTAATCAAATTCATTAATAAAACCATCCTCATGGAAAACTTGTCTTATACTTCAATTGATAATTTGGATTTTAATTAATGCTTTTGATTGATTTGATTTTAAACTTTTCCCAAACAATTGAACAAATCGCACCGTTAATTCTTAATTGTCTTAAGAAACAGCTGACAATAGAACTAACTGATAATTTTAAATATGGGATGAGAATTGCGAACAATATTATGTCTCTCTCAAGCGGTAAATAACAAAGATGCCACTGAACCGGTTTATGAGAGTTTAAGAGTTTATGGGAAAGAAATTAAAACTTCGATTGAGCTTGGTATATACAAGATCACTATCTTTTTTCACAATAGTTATATCAAATGGATAATTTATATGATCAGCGTAATAATTCATTTAATAAATTAATAATTTATTTATGTTCTTGTTAATATTTTTTTCGTAAGTAAATATTTTATTCACCAGCAACTGCATTCTATTAATTTAACATGTCCATAACATAAAAACTAATGAGATCTTCAAATATAAAATTAATGTTAGAAATTTTATGGTTACTTATGGCCGTTGCAGAAATAAGTACACATTAAAGTTTGCCACTTGGTACGTCTATATTTCCCGTTTATGACAATTAGAGGTCACATTTTAACAATAACGTATAATGGTGGCGGTTAGTGCACTATTCAGGATTTTCACTTTGCGGTATGTTTGCGATATTCTTAAAGCGATTTGCATTCCGCTAAGCATTCTTGGTCATGCGTTTTTACTATTTTCACTTCGTTTTCGAAAAAGTGTACGACGCTTTCGTGCTCTCATATTTTTGCTTTCATTAGAATTGTTGAAAATGGTTGGTGAGAATGTTTGGAGAATAAATTGATATAAACTTTCAGCTTAATTTTGTTAGAAATTACAATTTATCAAATCAATGTTTTTTAATAGCAATCTGTTTAAATTTTTCAAAAGATTTTTGAAATTTTATTCCCCTTTGATTGAATATCTGAATACTTTATTTGTTTGGACTTCAAAGCATGCAACCATTTTTTTTTTATGAAATATCTGCTTGTCATTATCTTCAATATAAATCCCTATTTTATAAATCCTTATTACTTAGATGATTAAAAAATTATTTTCCTTTTTATGAGGTCAAAGTTACGATAAAACTAGAATTTCTCCTAGATTAAAGACTCGTGTTCGTGTATAACCGACTTTAACTATCACCGGGTCGTGCGAACAAGTTTAATCTCTCACCGTTACAATAGCAATAAAAGTTTACTTTATATAGATGTTTGCTTAAGATTTTATTGTTGCTCACAGAATTATTGTCAACCGGTTGGTTGTTATACTGATGCAAGATCATTTTACCTATATGAGTTATTCTAGGTTTTACAAAGTTTTGACTACTTGATAATAGCAACATTTTGGGCATTTAAAAGAATTCCAACTTCGAATTTCAATAGTAAATTTGAGTTTTGCACCCGTTTGCTCAATCTTTGTTTATTTTATGTTTTTGACATTGCAATTTTATACTGCGTGCTATTTTTTTATAGGAAATCTTGCAAATGACTTTATGACTTTTTTTTGTACATTTTTAGTTAAATTATTCATGAAGGAAATCCGCTCAGGCTAATTGTCCTGTGATTTTATTACCTTTTTCTGAGAAAATAAAAACCAAGTTAGTAATATAAGTGTCAAGTCATAGGTTGTGGATCATATTTAGTCCCATACATGACTGTTCATTACATTATCGATCGTGTTGTCAGTATTGATCGATAAAGGTGCGTATTGTTTTCACTTTGGGTGTGTGTGGTCAGAATGCATTATTAGGATTTTATAAATACTTTTAATGGTGACTAAAAACAGTTCCTTTATGTAAGTATTTAGAATAAATTCACGGAAGTAATAAATTACCACCTATCTAAGTCAAGTTTCTAACTTTACAAGCTTGGTTTGAAGATTTTATGATTTAGAATTTTATGCTCTTTAGCTGTAATTTCTACATTTTATCAAACATTTGATTGGTTTTTCTTGATTTGTGAACAAACTATAATGATCTTTATGATGAATCAGAATCCATATTACATATACTCCAATAGCTTATAATATTTTTTTTTAAGCACTTGTAGATTTACCGCAGTCCAGTCATCAGACGGGACGGGAATTTATCACAGCTACGCGACTAGTGTCTTGAAGACTCAATTTTCTAAATTTGAGAAAATTAACTCGTCTGCGGAGTTCTGCTTCGTAGTATTTTATAATAATTTGCAATTAAGTAAAATCTTACATTTTTACAGACAAAAAGAACCAGTGGTCAATAACTAACAATGCCTGAAACTTTGGTCTCGACAATTAAGCTAAGTCACATCATTTTCTTTACATGCGCTTCTTGTACGCCATTTGTATTAAATTGCGAATAATTTGAAGAGCAATAAAGTATATCTTTTTTAATATATATTTCAATAAACGCCACCCACATAATAATTGAAGAGACTGATCGATTTTTCACAATTTTGATTTCATCTGATGCAAAAGATTGTGCGGTGAAATATAGTAATTCGCATCTTTCAGCGATTATAACATTATAAAGTACGCACCTTCCTCGTCGGTGACTGAGTTGTCATCTTCGAAGGACTTGGGCATTCTCAGCTGAAGGACATGGCTGTCTAAGAAATCGACCACGTTGTCCAGAATCCTCTCTTCTACTTGCAGTTCTCTGGCCTTGGGGTCATCAGGGAGTGGGTCGTAGGAGCGAGCTGACCGTGGACTACCCGACCTTGAGAAGGATACGCCGTCGACGATGTTCAACTCTTTCGACATCGCCAGATTCTCGGTGTATTTCATCGCCTTTTCCTGTGAATAAAAATAAAGTTAGTTTTATAGGAGTTTAATCAATTCCAAAAAGATTGAATACTAAAGATGTGATTTAGGATTTTGAATTTCGATTCTCGCAGTCTCCTTCTAGGAAGGATCTAAAATGACATAGAATACTATTAATTAAATATTAATTGATTTTGTTGGTTAAATTTCTAACTCAAACCTATTTCTAAGCTAGCAACTTTTTTTTTATTATTACTCAGATTAGATAATTATATTATCTAATAAGCTAATAATCTACTACTAGTTAACACCATGTCAAGATTGACTGATAGCTTTAACAGCTTTTTAAATGCCTAATTAGGCGGTCCATCAGACAGCCACTCAATCTCTTTTGCTTAGTCATCTCTCATTGAAACATGCGGCTAGATAAATTATGAGACACTTCAGGATTCGAACCGATATATGCAACTCATTTTTTTCTTGGGATTATCTAATTTTTTTTATTGTTTAACAATGTTTCCTTTTGAAATCACTGCCTAACGCTAAACGCCCCATTCGACACTTAAATCACATCACTGTATTACACAACACTTCACTGCACACCTTCAGACACATCAGGGTATCCGTTTCTACACAATCCCGGAGGGTGGAGATGAACTTCTCCATGACCCCGTCCTCCCTGGAGGTGGGCATGGCCACCGCAGCCGCTACCAGGCACAATATCACGAACGCTTTCATCTTCGACAACCAAACACCAATTGTTGCTGACGCTTCGAAGCGGTTGAGTTTTATTTTGAGTTCCCCCCCTCTCGATTTTCATATGTCACGCCTTTGCCGGCACGTTCGTCAATATGTGACGAAATAGCAAATAGCCGAGCTTTAGGCCTAACGCAAACCATATTAACGCGCATTTGTGACTTTTTTATGGCAATAAAGTGTGTTAAGACGACGCAACAAAGAGGTCAGATGAATTTTTGAAATTCTTTACGAGCCTATTGAATTTTTCATTATCTTGGCACGCTTCCGTTTAGATGACACCGAGCCTTCAATATATGATTTGCATAAAGGTCCGATAACCAGAATGGTTTCACAATTTTTTTTGGATTTCTTTTTTGATCAGAATAGAAAGCATTGTCGGTTCGTATAGATAAAATATTGCGCAAGGTGCGTAGATTTTCTTAAAATTCAAATGAGGTCGAAATGGGCTTGTAGCACGAATTAATTTGTTCGTCATAAATAAAGTTTATTGAAAATACTGCGACTGGTATGATCATTTATCTAACCAGTCATAGTTTATATTGATTTTTTTAATTTTAGTTCGAGTTTGAATTACAGGGAAGTCAGTATTTTACAAGTATTAAGCAGAACCTTAAGTATAATTTTCAATAATGTTTTGCTGACTAGGCATTAATAAATCGTGCATAAAAAAAGAAAAAAAGTTAATCATACGAAACTTCATAAAAAAAATGTAACAAGCCATTACTTTAACCATCAAGCGCATGCTTTGAATTCCATTTATTCATATTTCCAAAGCACTGCAGTACCGGAATTCCCCAATTTTTGCATGACTATATATTTGAGCAATTCATTGAAAACCCATTTCCCGTACCTCTAATTGTCAAATGGTTCACTCCTATCTTATTACTACGACGTACCCTAAATTGATGCAGATAAACTTTTTACAGAACATATCAAAATGTTGACCATTTCAAATGATTATTTCTTAGAATAGAAGTGATAAAATGACATACATTGCATGTGGCAGCTGCTAACTGATCAAGAGTCAGTTTCCAAAAGTTTGTCAGCGGGCATGGTAACTTCGAAAATTTTATGGGAACCAGTTCTAAGCGGTCACATTGGCTTCCGGACAACACCTTAGAGACAACTCATTCCAAATGTAGTATACTTAAAAGTAGAAAAGTTTGAATTGACAGTTAAAGTTTTACAATCTGAAAGATGGCTTTCCATAAGACAAATTTTCAAATTGGTTGTATAGTCAAATTTGACAGCACAACAAAAATCTTATAGAATAGAATAGAAATATTTTTAATTGCTCTCACAGTAATACATAGTTCAATACATAGTACAATGCGATATGACAGCGTGAAGAGCAAATGGATATAGCTCAGCATAAACTGCTTCGTTACAGAATGTCTCGGGCAGCGCTGGTTTTCAGCCACACCCACTTCTCCTTAGATGAAAGCGAGAAATGCAAAAGAAATATGAGAAATATTGTCTACATTTACGTAGTTCTTCAACGATATAATAGGATTTATGCTCTCTCAACTTTACAAGGAATAAAACTTAACAATATATTAATATCATTGTGTAATATCATGTGAAAACAAATATCTAGCTCATTACATATTTTTAGTACTTCCATAACGCATTTCATGTCAGAATTATCCTCACGCAATCGTTCCAACAAATCACTTTCTAATTTAAGTGATTGTTTAACAATACAACCTGAAACGTACGCACATACAAGTAATTCCCTATAAATTTTATTGGTCATTTGTATTCTACTATTTAGTCTATTTGAAGACAAGGTGTTACAGCGGGCGAAAGTCCATTATATGGTACATCCTTGTAGAATTTAAACTGCTGAATTATTGAGTTACAATACGCCTGTGAATTTGTCCGTGTTGACTTGAGAAGTCGAAAGGTCCTTATAATATAACTTAAAACCATTAAAGAAAAGTTTTTAATAGAAAAAAATCCACGCGAACCATGCAGCAGACGGGACTCGAACCCGCACACTTCGCAATCCGGGCGAATGCACTGACCATTAAACCATTAAAACCTTTAGTGAGGATAAAAGAAATTCCATAAAATTTACAGTTTGATCGAAACATTCACATTGTAATGCGTTATGTAAGTATTTTACAGAAATAAGTAAATCAGTTTAACGAATTTATTACCAAATAAAGATAGAAATAATTATTATTTCAGCATATGTCTTAATCCAGATAATACACAGCAATAATAGTGATGAAAAGACTTTGATATATTCAATTCTGGTGTAGCAACTGCAAGGCGTCTTCTATGCAGTGAATTTTTTGAACGAGTATTATGATAGTATCTATACACTAACAATTGTGAGCTTAAACTAAATAATAACATTAATTTGCTATTAATTAAAGAACATTGTTTAAGATTGTTAAAAGGGCGAATTGTCTTTGCTATGTAGACTAATCATATTATTTTGTCCGTACGTTTTTAATTTTTAATTTTATATGTTAAAGTATAAAGATTTCTGTTTTTTAAACGTGGAGACCTGTAATTGGCCTTCTGTTACTAATTTTTCCTCAACTATGTCTGTTTTATGAGCTGTTGGTCTCCCAAAAATTAAATAAATAAATAAAAAAATACGTGTAAATATATTTTTATTCTACACATTAAACTGCTTAATCGTTGTCTATAAAGAAAATTTTACTAGAAAATAAAAACCGCTTGATTCAGGTTTCAGGCTGAATCACAACGAATCCCTTATAACTGTTTAACCAGTCCCGCATTATTGAGTAACAAACATAAATACTTTCATATTTTATTATATCAGTAAGACTATTTACTCGAAACTGTGATAGAAGAATCGCGGTCCTTTGTTATCTACGATACTGCCTGAGTTATGTAATTTTGAGTTTCTTTATTACGAATAGTCTCGACGCGGCGCAAAGATGAGGATGTTACGTGCTATAGTGTAGTAAGTCCCTTACGGCTCATGAATTATTGAAATATTTGCATCCTGAAGTGGTTGGGTAACTTTTGTTGAATAATGTCTGCCATTCTGATTGGAAACGAAAACTCATTTGAGTCGAGCAAGGCAAGGCAAACGATTATGAAGTTCACATCGAGTCTCATATTTAGTATTTCCTATCATGCACTACATGATAGCTCTTTAGGCTAGTCCTACATAGTTTGAATCAGAATCTGAATCCAAAATATGAATCACGATCTTGATTCCGGTGCTTTGGCTCACACAAGTCTTATAAATTCCATCTGATCTATAACCAAAATCCCTATATCCAGCGCCATGTCCCTCACACACGGTGAGTTTGGCTTGATCAAGCCTATTTGAACAAATCACTTGATCAACGGCAGGGCGGTGAGTTGCCACCATTAAGTATAGTGTAAAATGTCAATCACATATAAGAGAGATTATATAAATTAACCTGTCAAATTTGCAATGTGGTTCCGTTTGTACGTGTATGTCGTAGATAATGTAAGAAGGAAAGGTTGCGTTTGGATTTTTTTAATATAAATTCATACACTTATAAGACACATTCATAAAGGTTGTTACGCATTCATAGAATGACGTTATCATAGTGTGTGTGGATAGTAGTTAAATTGTATGCAATTTTGTGCTCTTTGAATTAATAATATGAATTCAGATTCTGGTTCAAACTGTGTATTGCTAGCTTTAGGATGAGCAAATTCAATGAAAGAACGTTCATCGTATGAGGGTGGGAGGAGAGACTCTTTGAGATTTGTCACATGTCGTTATAGCAAAATGATTGTGCTTCGTAAAATTAATATAGCCTTCTTGCTAACAAACTGACAGACAGCTCTCGCAAGCTCCTATTCAGCTTCACTTCGATTGCTTAGCCTAGCACAATAGGGATGATGACTATTTTTTTTTCTTCGTTTATCAGGTAGATTGTCAAAAAGTATTGAACACGCATTTTTTTCTTTTTTCACATAATATAAACATTGCAGAGATATATTGATTTGAAAAGTCACATGACGTCACGTTTGAGTATACTTTTAAGTGAAAATTCACTAAAAAGTGTCGTCACGAGCCCCTACTCCCAAACTTTGACGCACTATAACTTTATCATTTTTTGGTTGATTGTCCAAAGAAAAATACGTGTCCATGATCATCTAACTGACGGACTAAATAGAATTTCGTTTACTGTACCTGTCATCACCCCTATTGACCTGGAGATAGATGGATATACAAGGTTAGAAATAGAGTTCCGCTGTCACCTATTGGGCACGGAGCCTTACAAACGTAGGAAGTACAAACATTCACCAACATTTCATAGCTTCAACATTCTTGAACAGTTTTATGTTTATAGTTCTGCAAACCGATAGTAAAACCGATACAGAGTTCATTGACTGCAAAAACAAAGAGTACAGTCAATTATATAAATGACACAAGCAAAACTTTTCATTCGTATTACAAAAGCGTTCGTCACGAACATTTTAAACAAAAAGCTTTTGTTTCAAAGCAAATCCCCGACGAAAGATATATCAATGATAGTAACTTGTCCTCTTATAATACCGCCCGAAGCAATGACGCCACACAACACAACAAACACTAAACAATGAAATTTAAATCGGAGAGAGTGCATTGCACATATTCATTCTGTTCGACAATCAAGTTTCAGCACAATACGGATCTTATTGCGCGAGTTGGAAGGTTAGGTTTCCTTCAAATCTGTTTCGCTTTAGGTTTTCTAAACAATGTTGGCTGCAACTGTTCTCCTGGTGTACCATATGAATGGTAAGTGCGAGGGGAAATTTTCTCCGGAGACGTTAATGATTTATGAGATGTAGCCTGTGTTTCCTTAACTGGCGCGTTTGAGGCTTTCCTTATGCTCATTGTGCTAATCTTGTTGAATCACGTTGCATAGAATCAAATGCAAACCTCGGGGCTTGTAAATGTCTACCGCTTTGTGTATAGAGCGATACGGATATCCGTGTTGCTCTGTGGGTCTGATAGATATTTAAGCTGATTTTAAAACTTTTTTCTTAC